TAGTGATGGACAGTGTTATATTGTGTGAGAGATTATTTGCTCCAAGTGATAATGTTTTAGTGTGAAATTGAACAGTATATGCCAATATTGTTTTCAATAAAAAACATTTGCACAAAGCAAGCCGATCCACTTTTCCATGTTGATAAGAGCATTAAAATGAGAAAAAAATAATGGGACAAAAAGAAATCAAGAGACATTTAGAATAGATAAAAATGTGCGATTAAATGTGATTAATCGCGAGTTAACTATGACATTAATGCGATTAATCGCGATTAAATATTTTAATCGTTTGACAGCACTAATTTTAACATCTAAAGTAATTTCATTACGTTTTCAGATATTTCATATTGTCTTGGGGTAAAATGGACACAAATGCATCTTTCATTTCTTTGGTGTTCAAGGTTACAATTATACATTGTTCACGTGTGAAATAGCCTTTGCCCTCCAACAACGGTGCAACTCTTTCTGATTGCTTTGCTTTACAAGCAGCACTTATTCAGTCTGGCACTAAATCAGAGTGAAAGAGCCAGTGGAAACACATGCAACCTGTGAACTTTTGGTCAATAGCTGTAAATAATCGACTCATTTAAAAATGTTTGCTGCTGTATTTTATATTGTATTAGAAAATCATAAACTAATGCAAATGAAACCGCTAGCGTCAGATGTAGGAAATGTATCGTCAGTTCCAATTGATATTTTAATAGATTGTCAACATTATCTGCTGATGGTTTAATATGTAAAGTATTTCTTTGTGTATGTTGCGCAGACGTGTTTCCAGCCCTATTTCATTAGATGGTTTTATTTAAATGTGCAAAAGTGCGGCCGATTCCGATGTGTTCCTAAAGGCTGTTCATTTGTCTTCTTGCTGAAATAATCTGTCTCCATCATCATAAATCTGGGTTTTTATAGTGTTTTCTAGAGTACGTAGAGACTGAGCACTAAACGGAGAGAGGGAGAATGACAGGACCTGTTGTAATGTGAAGTTGAAATGAGGGTGAAATGAATTGTTTTCTGATCTGAAGTATGTTGATGGTTTATTTTGCGAGTAGGTAAATCCCATCTGCCGGTTAATGGTGTGATTCAGCTCGAGTAAGTGCAGGAGAACTTCTAAAAGGGTTATTTTATGCGCGAGCTGCTGTGAGTCCGTCTGCAGGCTGAGACTGCGTTGACTCGTTGCCTAAATCAGTGTTTATTAATGTTTCCTTTTGTCAGCTTTTCTTTTGAAGAATATTCTGTGTACGTAAAGGGCATCTTTGAGCATTTATACTCCTCCTGACACTCGGCTAATGTCACAAAGGAAATAGTGGTCTCGAGCTTCAAACATATGATTGCAAGCTGAGGTAAATGGCTGCTATTGGGATTATTAGTTTCCTAGCAACGTGACTGACAGAAGCTCAAACCTTCAGGACAGAGTCCGGCACAGTGCTCGCGTTTACTTCGTCCCTTCATCTCCTCAACCGTTAATATATAGAGACGCGGGGGGGAAGTGTCCGTTTAGTGGCATGTGCCCAGTTGCTCTTCAAGGTGTGACCTCTGATGGTCACATGATTAAAGCTGTCTGTCTTTAATCTTCTCCTCCTGCTGTGTGAAACAAAGAGAAGGAACCCAGATTTGCCACTGCTGTCTTCTACGTTTAGATGCACTTAGATTAAAACTTAATGGATATTTCACCCAAAAAACGATTTGCATCTACTGTGGTACACAAGTTTTGAAGAACTGGTTGCAGTAAATGAATGGGCATAGAAGCTCTCAAGCCTTGAAAAGGATCTAAAACACCTTAAGAGTAGTTTATACAAGCTTCTTCAGAAGCCTCTACTCAGAACAGACCTAAACTAAAGTCAGTACATGCACTGCTGTTCAAGAGCCGCTTCTGCTCACCAAGCCTGCATGTATTTGATACAAATACAGTAAATACTGAGAAATATTATGACAATTTAAAATGTTTCTATGTGAATTTAAATATAGTAAAGTGTAATTTATTCCTGTGATCAAAGCTGAATTTTCAGCATCATTACTCCAGTGTCACATGATCCTTCAGGCAAGAAACATTTATGATTATTATCATATTTATCATTATTATATTATCAGGATTCTTTAATGAATAGAAAGTTTTAATGAACAGCATTTATTTGAAATAGAAATCTTTAAAAATTAGGGCTGTCAAAATAACGCGTTAATTTCGATTAATTAATCTGAGAAGAAATGACGCGTTAAAAAAAATAACGCAGATTAATCCATTCCGGTTTGACCTTTGCGGAGCCGTTCTAGCCGTAGCCACCATTCGTGTAAAAAGGAGGGAGACAAGAACGCGCTGCTTGGATCATTGTTTGGAACATTTACTTATAACAAACGGAGTTCGTCAACTCTAAAGTACCACATCAATGCAAAGCATCCAGGAGTGTGTGCGTGAGTCGGTGAGTGTGTCTGAGAGAAAGCGCGCTTGTGTGTGTGTGTGTGTGTGTGTTGTAACTTTTCACGCGCTCTCACGTCACACAACCATTTTCTCACGCACAGAAAAATCGCGCACCAAAGAGAGGACACGGAAACAGACAAGACAGAGCACGTTACTTATGATATCAAAAAAATCTTAGATTCTGTCAATTTTATTACGAAAATCAAACAATAAATACCGTTGGCGCTTGTAAATGTGACATGAGTCATGACAGATCCCATAGCGGCACGTGAACCGATCATCTCTAGCTAATAGTAAATTAACACGAATGACCAATGTTGAAAGATACAGTCGGGCAGCCTAAAACTTACCGAAATGTATATCCCTCGATCAATCAGTGTTTTTCAACCGAGAAAAGAGGTCAATAAAACAGCTGGAGAACAGTTGTGTCACATAACATTTAGCCTAAGTTACATCAGGAAAGCCATTTCATGACCATATGATAGCACGTTATAGTTGGCTATAAAAAAAGAGCTATAGAGAGTTTTTCTAAATTTATGTAGCCTACTACTATATTACATATGTATTATATTTTTACTTATCAAAGTTGTTATTTGTAATAAACATGCATTATATTTAATTTGAGCTATTTTTAACCTTATACTACCAGCTGATATGGCTCTCTGTATTTTTACAGCATTGGGTGAGATTTTTTTTTTCTTGAGAAAAATGAATGCCTATCTTGTGTACCTAATATTTATCCAAATGAGTCAATATTGCATCAAATCACAAGAATTAAATTAAATTGAAATCGTGAAATTTGTGTCAAGCAATAATAATAAAAACGTAGCTTACCAGAAACCATGTAAACATTGTAAGATTGTGTATGCGATTAATTTAGATTAATTAATTACAGAGTATGTAATTAATTAGATTAAATTTTTTTATCGATTGACAGCCCTATTAAAAATATATGTCTTACTAACCACAAACTTTTGAACGGTAGTATACATTCATCATGCATCAAAGGTTAATCACAAAAACAAATTTTAAGTGTTAAAGTTGGAAATAACAATATAAATGACGCACACGGGGATTCTCTTAGAATTATTATCTTTGCATTATCTGTATGTGTTATTTTGGGACTCAATTTACTATTTTGCTAATCAAAATAATCGTGCAAACATGGCCAGAAAATGGACCATTATCTATAATATAATCTTTTTTATACAAAATTCAGTTTAGTGTGTTAATTGCAGCAGGCATATAGCTGACTTTGGTGAATAAGTTGCTGTAAAAGAGCTCATGAATTACATTTACAATGACTTGGGGTGTGTTCACACTGGGCAGGTTTGGTTGGGTTAAAGCGAACTCTGGTGCGATTGCTCTGTTAGTGCGGTTCATTTGAATAAGTGTGAACACTGCCATCTGAACCCTAGTTTACGCCAAACAAGCGAACCGAGACTGAAGAGATGGGTCTGGGTCCGCTTCCAAACTAACTCTGGTGCGGTTCCACTGAAATATGAACACAACACAGGTCAAAGACATGTGAACGAACCAAAAACAGGACATGATGTCATGAGATGCCACCCTAAAAAGGACACATCTGTCGCGATGTTGGCCATCACAGTTCGGACCGAGATCTCAGCTGGTCATATGTGCAGGCACACGCAGCGAGCGAATTAAGCCCAGAGCACAGCATTGGTTTAGATGCTCAGTTAGTACAGTCGCAAAATTTACTTCATAAAAGCTGACCAATCAGGTTGTGAGCATATCCCTGAGCCTTTAGGTTCGGCGTGACAAATGCTAATGTGAACGCTAAACAGACCAGGACTAAATGTTTTTTGGCTCCGAACCAAGCAAACCGATCTACACACCCTTAACTACACATGGCGCAGCACTATATCTGGTTGAGTTGTAATAAGTAAATTGTAAACTGAAATGCACACCAGTTTCATCCCAACTCTATTATTGGGAGTATTTACATTTGGTTACTTAATGCGTTTCTATCGATCGGACAGGTCTCTGGTCATAAAACACCAAGTGTAAAATCCTGCCAAGACTCTTTCGGGATAGACAGGAGGATGGATAGATGTGTAAGAGCGCTGCCATGCATGCATGAGTGAGCAGTCATGATGGAGGGACTGTGCAACACTAACTGCCATATGGGGAGCGTTGCACAAGTGAACTCTGTAATAGCTGCATACGTGCATTTAGATCCATTTTGTGGAGAAACATCTATGTGACCTAGCATAAATTGGACTGTGCAAACCAATCAGACGCATGAATTGTCTTTATTTGTTTTTTGCTGTCATTTAAATGCATGCAAAAGAGACATTTAGATGCAGTCAACTGCTTTTTCCTGCAAATGACAGATGAGTCAGTGTGTTTATGTGGGGATTCCTGCAGTGGTGTTAAATAACGGCAGACTCCCACACACCAGACCATCAATCTTTTACATTAATGCACACAAGTTGTATTTCCACACGTACATCGTACAGAACCTGTTCAAACTCTCACTATAGATACTTTATAGATGGTCAGGGCTATGGAAGAGTTGTCATGCATGCATTGATGGGATGTGTGTGTGTGTGTGTGTGTGTTGTAGTGATGGAGATGAGCTGAAGAAGTCTCTGTCCGAGCTGGCCGATAAGAACCACCACTCTCACACTAAGAGCATCAGTCGCATCAGCAGCGGCAGTAACCCGTTCCTGGACATCGCACACGACCCCAACGCTGCCGTCTACAGAACCGGCTTCCTGACACGCAAAATACACGCCGACATGGACGGCAAGAAAAGTAAGATCCAATCCAGAGTTCTGAAGTTTGTGCTGTTTCATCTCCAATACGATAACTGCATGTAAAGTGTATGATCCATGCAGCAAGATTTTGATACGGTAATACAGTAAAGTACTCTGAAACTGTATTGTTTAACGACTTTAACCGCATGATTTATTATTTTTAATTAAAGTTTAAAACACCATGATAAAAAGCAGTTTGACTAAACATTTATTTTGCTAAAAAGCTGGACAGGTCGTTTGAATGACTTTGAAGCATTTTGATGTATTAATTCTGTGTAATTAAAAGCCTTTTTCATATATTTATGACTCTCCACAAGTCAAGCTTCTGGGTATGCAGGGAAAGAGCATTAAATAAATGCTGTGTAATGTGATCGAGGGTAAAGCAGGTGTGATTCAGTGCTTTGGCAAGCACACATGGTGAGATGGGATTTTGGCCGTAGTCTCTCATATATTATGCCCACTTATTTTTCCTTCCTAATGAGATTCTAGAGTCACTTGAAAACCTGCTGAGCTGTTCGTGTCTGTTTGAAGAGACGTAGCGATTTCAGCTCGTCCAGCAATGACCAATCTCAAATACGGACAGTTGATATGATCAAACGGAACGTTTAAGATGACTGAAAACTGTAAATATTTCTGGTTTTGTATTATATACACTACCGATCAAACTTTGGGATCAGTACAATGCGTTACATTCAGCATGAACGCATTAAATAATCAACAGTGACAGTAAAGATATTTATAACATTAATTATATAAAAGTTATTCTTTTGAACTTTCTATTCATCAAAGAATAAATAGAGAAAATTCAGCAAAAATTGTTTTCAACATTGATAATAATCATAAATGTTTCTTGAGCATCAGATCATCATATTAGAGTGATTTCTGAAGGATCATGTGACACTGAAGACTGGAGTAATGATGCTGAACATTCAGCTTTGATCACAGGAATACATTACATTTTTGATTATTTAAAAATAAATTGTTATAATATTTCACTGTTTTTACTGTATTTTTGATCAAATAAATGCAGATTTAGTGAGCAGAAGAGAACACATCTTGCTGACCCCAAACCTTTGAACAGTAGTGTGTGTACCCTGTCTAACCGGGTTAGATGTATAATAATATAGAGGCGGTGTTTGAACGTGTGTAACAGGGTAACTGTGATTTACTGGCCGGCTCTGGCAGAAGAGTTTATTGGGCACGCCACGCTCCAATGCCAGCCATGCCAGTGCGGTCCAATGAACGCATTACATCCAGGATAAAAACAGCAGGGCTTTAGTGATCTGATGCATCACATGCTGAGAGCATTCAGGCCAGGGTCCCAGAGGTGCCATCAGTGCGACGCGGCACACTTCTGAGAACCGTAAAGCACCCGGATGCTTCCCAAAGCTCCTAAAGCACTGCCGTAAATAAAGCTGTTCTGCAGAGACACCTTCACGGAGTCACTCGACAGGGAACATGCTAGTAATGCCCTTCAGAGCTGGAACAGAGCGCTGAAATGCTCATCTAGGTTTGACCCTTTCTAACACAACACCATGGAAAATACAGGACTAAAGGAACACATAAATATTACACATAAATATACGCAATGCTTGAGTGGAACACACAGTGAATGAGAACAGATTCTGTTGAGCTCCAAAAGCAGTACAAAACTAGTCCATCTTACTTTTACTACGATGTTGCTGATTGTGCATACGGTACTATCAGTGAATAACACCTTAGAGATAGCCTGGGTTTCCCCATACCCGATTTTATTCACGCTGCTAGGCAGTCTGGATACCATGGACCAGATTTTCGCCTCAGCGAGGGGACCAATCACAGAACGGGGAGGGAGCAGCAAGACGATGACGACGTCTATGCGACACACCGAAGCAGTTTGTTTATACCTATGGATCACACACGGCAGCAGACGCGAAGTTACCTTTCGATGCAGCTTTAGATACATACGCCATCGTGCACACATAAATCTCTGACCCATCGTCTTCTTCCTCGTCTAATGTCTGTTGCTCTACATACATCATCTGGTATAATCGAAACGATTGGCTATGAGCTACGTACAGGCCCATTTGATAGACATTCGTAGCGCCCAATAAACGGCTCTGGGCATTCGTAAACCACGCCTCAAATACGAGAAAATGAACATGTGATTCCCAGACCCTAGTCTCAATGTCAATGAGACGTGGTCTGACGTTAGCCAGGCTAGCTTAGAGATGCACCGATATGAACATTTTGGCCGATAACGATAACCGATAATTCTTTATATTTGAAAGCCGATAACCGATAAATTGGCTGATAAATCTAAATCCAAATTTTTATATAATTTTTGAGAGCCTGATTACAAGAACAAAAGTCTCACCATTAAAAGCCATGCACACAATTATAATGTTCTCATAATAATTCTATGTAGCCTATATGACAGATTTGTGATGCACTATTTTCCTTTTTTGAAGGGATTCCAATCATATTTCAAGCAAATCAAAAACATAATGTTGAACAGTGCGCGTCTGAAGAGTCTCAGCTGGAGGAAATAATACATTATTTATCGACTTTAATAGTTCTGCCTTATTTTCTCATCGGTCCGATAACGATAACGTTAAAAATGAACATATATCGACCGATGCCGGCTGATATATTGTGCATCCTTAATCTTAAATTTGAGTTTGTTCCTCACACAAAGCATAGGACTTTAGAAGACTTGAAAAATGGTGCATGAGTCATATATGGACTGCAGTTATGTTACTTTTATATCTTTTTATTTGTGGTTTTTGGAGTTTAACAGCCATGGTCACTGTGAACTGTTATTGAGTGGAAAAGAGTCGCATATCCTGTGAATATAAAAAGTCCACACCAGTTTTTGTGATGTAAATCATCAGATCATTTCAGAACTTTTGCATGTTTAATGTAAAATTACAACCTATGCGATGCCACTGAAAACCAGAATGCCACGTTTTGCATGTCCTGTGCACAGGTGTCCAGATCTGACTGGGTCATTCAAACATTGATCTGTCTTTACTGAAGTGTTTCTGCTGTGGGTTCAGATCGGTGTTTTGGGTCAGTCATGCTGAGGTGGGAGTTCTCTTCATGTTCAGCTCTCTGTCCGATGCCAGAAGGTTCTGGGCCAAAAGCTGACTGCTACGTGGAGCGACCCATGATTCCCCTCTCCTCCTTCACTGAAGCCGGCTACTGCACCATCATGCTTCACCAGGGGCAGCAATGCAGTTCACTTTCAATCTTTTCACATGGTTTTGGGAGAATGGATAAAGCTTTTTGCAGAGTTTAGTCAGGCTTGGGTGTTTTTTTTTTGTGTGTGTCAGAAAGTTTTGCATATTGCCATTCTGCCCAATAGCCAGACAGATGGAGAATATGGAGATACAGTCGAACCAAAAAATATTCAGTTTTTTTTTTTACTAGTGTGTGCAGGACACTATAGTTATATATAACTGTGACATATTATACCCAAAAATTCTTCATACAGCGACTACCAGTAAAATGTATAAAAATTTGGGACCAAAAATGATTCGGACACTTCGACCTGATCATGTTTTCCTGAAGTGTGTTTTCTGTAATTGCTAATGCTCTTTTTACACACACACTGAACAACATGAAGCATTGCTTGGTCACTGGTTGAGCTAAACTGGTATTATCTAATTGTGGAGTTAAATTGAACAGCTGACAGATATTCAACATAATTCATCTGTGAGAGTCTAACAGAAGGACGGACAAAACCAGTGAAATATCCACTGATCTGATCACTCTGAGTTCGTCATATTTCATCACCATTTTCTAAACTATAGCGAATAACTGTGATAATGTGAGAAATGGTGAAGGACTCTGAATAAATGTTGGTTTGACTGTAGGGAGCAACCAGTGCTTGCCAGAAAGAGCCGTCTTCTCATCAGTTTCGGCCCTGTTCTTGATCACGTGACTGTTGTGCCGCACTTCTCCACTTGAAGACTGTCTTCACAGCGCTCCATGGTTCATCTGATGCCTTGGAAATGTTTTTGTAGCCCTTTCTTGAGCAAAACCTTTGAACAATGATCCATGGCTCTTGTAGTCGCAGCAACTAAGAAGATCCTCCACGAGCAGCCGAGGTTTATCTGGAGTTAATGCTGAAGACACCGAAGCTTGACCATTAGTTCATTCTCAACACAGTCACATACACATTTATAAAAGGCTGTGCTCATCTATGCAGTTTGGGGTGGTTTTATTTTTGTCTTTTTTCTCTGAAATATGTCACTTTGGTTTTCAGTGGCATTTCATAAAGGCTGTAATTTCTACATGAATGGAGCAAAAGTTCTGATTTGATTTGTCTTTACATCACAAAACCAGTTGTTTTAATGCCATGGAGACATTTTTAATCCCCCTGTAATAATGTTGCAGAATACTATCATCATGATTTTAATATTTACATTGTTTGTCTTCTCTAGCACCAAGAGGAAAGCGAGGCTGGAAGACCTTTTATGCTGTTCTCAAAGGCATGATCCTCTATTTGCAGAAGGTTTGTTTTTCCACTCTTTCATTTCCCCCTCCTCGCACTGCTGATTCATCAAATTCCCATCATTTCCTGCAAACATGATCAATAATAATTCAATTTCTCCTCCTGGGAGACTCAGACGGTGAGAGGTAATCACATTCACACGTTTATTTCGGGTCTGACGAACCTTTTCAGAGCCCATCAAAGGAAGAAGCGCCCCAGCGCCACACGTTCTCCAGTACAATAGTTTATTAATGCGCTCCGTTTGATCTGGCATGAGTTGCCCGGCTGTGCAGTGATGCAGAAGTCACCGGCGTGAGAGGTGTACCCGTG